CGGCCTGCGGACTGAAGGGTCCTGGGTTCGATTCCAGTCAAGGGCATGTACCTGAGTTGCGGGCACATCCCCAGTAGGGGGCGTGCAAGAGGCAGCTGAACCGATGTTTCTCTCTCATTGATGTTTCTAATTCTGTATCCCTCTCCTTCTCCCTTCCTCTCTGTAAAAAATCAATAAAATATATATTTTTTTAAAAAAATGAGTGGTTGCCAGAGTTGAGGGGGGCTGGATAAAGAGATGGAGCACGGAGCATTATTAGGTCAGTGAAACCATTCTACATGATACAATCTTACGAGTGCACTCTAATGTAAATGACTGACTTTAGTTAATAATAATGTATCAATACTGGTTCATTGATTGTAACAAATGTATCACACTAATATAAAATGTTAATAAAAAAGGAAAGATGAGAGGCAGGAAGCAGATATGTGGGAACTCTATACTTTCTGTGCAATTTTTCTGTAAACCTAAAACTACTCTAAAAAATAAAGTCTATTAAAAATGTTTTAAAATCTTACAGGTAACCAGCCTTCAAAATTACATAAAAAACAGAGCCAGTTGATTCACATGAAGCCAACATATCACTGGCTACAATAAATGTTAGTAAGATAAGCTTCCCTATGAAAAGACATTGACTTAAATTGGGTCAAAAGAGAAAACCCTCACAAAATTATTCATCATATCTAAAACTAAAAAGCTGAATAAAGATATATTAGACTAGACTAGTGCAAAGAAGAACAAGGGGGGAAAGCTAATTGTGCTGCAATAAAGAAAAAAAGGGGGGGAGCAGGCCACAATATAAAAATAAAACAGGGCTGTTTTATATTGAAAAAAAGAAAAACTCACAGTAAAGATATGAAATGCATGAATCTTTTTGTGCACTGACATATACAAAATGGAAACTGCTGAAATCTCAGGAGAAATTGACAGAAGCATACAACAAAATGGAAACCTTAATCCATTTCTCTTAATCATCCATAGATGAAATAGTTAAAAGATGCAAGAAGATGATAGTAATTAAAGATGTTGATTTAATAAATATATATTGAATTCTGTAACCTATACAGAATAATTGTTTCCAGAATCCATAAATTTTTATAAAAATTTATTGTATAGTAAGCTGCAAAATATAAATAAACCTCAAAGCAGGAATTTTATATGCCATATTTTCTGATCAAAATTCAATAAACATGAATCTATATAACAAAGTCTAAATTTAAAAATTCTTCCAAACAGATAGTTTCCCCTAAAAATCACTGCATCAAAATAAGTAGGATAATAAATACCAAACTCCAATTTTGCTCAAGAGCTAACAAAGGAAGCCAAGAATTCCAGCTAAATTCTCCATTCCTTCCCTGCGGTCAAAGCCTACTACCATAAACAGTTTACAAGAGAACACTGTTCTTAAATAAATGGTTTTCTTGACGACCAAACTGAAATGAGAGGAAGGGGTTCTTTCCCATGCATCTAGCAATTTGGCCCCCTGTGAATGAAGGCCACTGGAAAGATCAAATAAGGACCTATTCCCACACCTAAGTTCAAATAAGCTAGAGAGAAAACACTTGCCTCACTGATAAGAAGAGATCCCAGGGATTTACTTTACAGGTTGTCTTATACAAAACACAATGGAGAAATCCATGTAAGAATTGTAAAAAATTTGTGCTGTAAGAATTGTAAAACATTTCAAAAGACCATAGTCTCTTTAACTTCAGTACAATATAATTCTGTAATTCAAATTATAGAGCAACTATTTAAAAAATGTCAACATGCTTGATATACTTCAGAAATATAAATTTTAATAAGATATACTCAATTGCAGAGGCTTACAAACTATTACAAGAGATAGTCTCTATTTTGGTGGTTCAGAATTGCTAATTATATTCGTTGATCTTCCTTTTCCTCATTAATATCTGGTTTGCTTCATTTACTGCTTTCTAATAGGAATATATTGAAATTTCCCAGTTTGACTGTGGATCAGTTAATGCCTCTTTAAAACTCCCTTAAAATAGGTTAGACTATGTTGCTAGATACATACACAGTCAGAATTATTATATCTTGATGGGCTGCTCCTCTTCATTATGTAATCTACCAAAATATCCCTATTGACATGTTTTTGCCTTAAATTCTACTGTTTGATGCACTGCCATTGGCCCATTCTCTCTAGATAAGAAATTTAAGTAGGGGAGAACCAACGCAGCAAAGCATTTTCAAGTTCAAGCTATGATGTACAAGCACAGAGATTCTACATTCAAGATCTACATTTTAAAAATAATTATTTAATGAAGAATAGAGTCTAGGGACTGAGAGAAAAACTGAGCCAAGGACTGGCAACAAAGAGAACTAATTCAGACCAAAGGAAATAATGCAAAAACCTTGGCACTGAACAGACCAGGAATGAAATCCTGACTCTGCCATCTCCCACTGGTTTAACCTGAAGCAAGTAACAACTCTCCTTTGCAGAATGAGGGTCATAATGCTCACCTCACAGGGAGCTAGAGAATTCAGTGAGAAATCAGGTACGAAACGCCCAGCATGATCCCAACTCATGGTAGGTACTTAATAAACATTAGTTCCCTCCCACTAACTCCCATGCCACATTTATCAGCAAGCCTCATAAAAGGGTTTGAAATTGCAACATGCGTTTTCCTCAAGTCTGGATTCACAAACTTATCAGTGTATTTTCAAGTAGATTCTGAGATGAGCCTGAGATACATAGGTCCAAGATCTGGTGAGCAACCTGACCTACATTAGTGTGGACGTCTGCTTCCCAGGCCAAGGCCTAGAAACACTGGGCCCCAATGCAGGATGGGTGGCCAAGAGACAGCCAGAAACTAGAGGGGCCAAAAAAGAGGAAGGATTACTTGAGCTTCGGCTCCCGTCCTTCGCTTGTGTACTGCCAACAGATGAGCCCGATCAGGTCCTGCACCCTGGCGCTGGCCATTGTCACCACAGTCATTGGCAGCAGTCTGTCCTGGCTTGAGTGTAAGGGGAGGTAGACATCAATCTTCTTGGTGGCTGTTGTGCCTACATGACCCTGTGGACAGAACACATGCACGAGGGTAAGGCATACACTCACAGTCATGCAGACCCTGCTGGGCCACAACTACTGCTCTCCAGGGCTTGTGTGCAGCACAGCCATCTCTGATCCTTTTTGCATAGACCTGCTTCTGAGCCTGGAAAGGTCCCCCAAGTGGAAATACTGTCTAGTTTTAAGGTTTTTTTCTTTAATATTCATTTTCTAACGGTCTAATTGATCCAATTTTGCCAGCAGTAAGATAAATGAGTGCTACAATTAAAACCAACAAATCAGAATGGTGAGCAGATCTGACGTTTAGTGGCAGGAGACTTGCTTTGCTACTTATTCAGTGTGACCTTGGAAAAGTCACCCTTAGACCTTGGCATCAGCTGCCCTCCCTGAAAATCGCGGTCTCACTCCTTGAGACCTTGGGAAAAGCTACATGGGAAGCTGCCACACTTTCTGAAGAAGCTTTTAGGCCTGTAACACTGGATCGAAGGGCTTGCCTTCTCAGAGACTATGGGAGGCTAATTCCATTAGTTTTGAAAACGTTGATAACCACCCTGCCGGTGTGGCTCAGTGGTTGAGCGTTGACCCCTGAACCAAGAGGTCACTGGTTCTACTCCCGGTCAGGGCACATGCCCAGGTTTCAGGCTCAATCCCCAGTAGGGGGGACATGCAAGAGGCAGCCAATCGATGTTTCTATCTCTCTCTCCTTCTCCCTCCCTCTCTAAAAATCAATTAAAAAAAACATTATAAAAATAGAAAGAAGCCCTGACCAGTTATTCTCACATATATCCTGTTCATTTTCTTCATAGCACTTAATAATTTTACATTATGTATTTGTTCATGTACATCCTTAGTGTATGCCTTCTCCACTAGCCTCTGAGTTCCATGAGGGCATCTATAATAACGTCTGCTTTGTTTACTGCTCTATACACAATGGCTAGCACTGTGCCTGGTGCATAAAAGACTCTCCCCAAAAATCTGTTGAACTACAAAATGAATGCATAAATAACCTAAATGACTGCCAAGATACAAGATAGAAACTCAATAAATGCTAGTTTCCTCCATCCACCCCTCTTGCCTTTCCTCTAAGGGTCTATTTCCTGGAGGAGCATGGGAAATGGAGGTACCTGACCAACCAAGTGTTTCCAGCTTTAACACTATAATTTTATCATTCTAAGGCAGAAAAAAAATAAAAGATCAGAACTAAGGTAAGGAAATACATAAAATCAGTTTAAAAACATTTGAAGAGAAATTCCAAATCTCTCATAACCAGCATCTAATATTAGATCCACTGATTTTTTTTTTACTGAATCTTATCTCTGTTATAAAGCAAATAATAAAAAAGCAATTCTCTTACATAATGCATGCTCTCTCTCGCTCTCTTATGTGTACATACACATGCACACACTCACACCCATGCATGTTTTTCAGCCTGAAATAATTACATCTAAACAGCAATTGTTTGGCCTTGTCAGGCAGTTAAAGGGTTAAAATTAAAACAAGGGCAAGCTTTCTGGAGTGGATTTGTCACCCCTTTATCACTCTTCTCAACCTCCTTTTCACACCCCGCCCAGTTCATTGTCCTTGCTATTCCTTCTTATTTCCTTCATTCCTCCTCCTTCCTCGGAAGAACTAGAGCTGATGGGGCTATAGGAATAACAATATCTCAAAATAGGAAGATTGAATGAGATGACCAATGTGAATGTGCTTCACAAACTGTAAAGTGCTTTAGAAATGCAAAGCGGTATGCTAGAAAGGGCCTACGTTTTAAAATCAGACCCATTTCTATTACTCAAGCCTATTACAAGGTTATATGAGACCAAAGATGGATGCTATAGGAGCCCTAATAATGTTATTCTTATAACAAGAACTGATATTTATAGCTGTTAAATAAATTCTGCAAAATGTTTGCCTAAATTACCTCATTTAACTCTCACAATCACTATAAGAGGTAGGTTCTATCATTACCCTCATATTATAGACTAGAGGCCTGGTGCATAAAAATTTGTGCACTCGGGGCGGGGCGGGGGGGGTCGGCCTGACCTGTGCCCTCTCACAGTCTGAGACCCGTCAGGGGATGACCATCTGCTGGCTTAGGCCCGCTCCCTGGGGGAGACTCGGGCCCAAGCTGGCAGTCAGACATCCCTCTGGCAGCCTGGCAGCCCTCAGGGATGCATATTACCCTTTTATTATATAGGATGAGAAAACTAAGGTGTATAAGGCTACAGGCATCTACTCAAGATCCCAAAACCAAGGTGGAGGAGGCAGAATTCAAACCCGGGTCTGTTTGACTCCAAAGCCCCTACTTCCAACCTCTGTGTTTTTTCCCTCCA